TTTACACAGAAGTGATGGTTCTAGTTGCCAGGAGAATTTCTGGGACAGTACTGTTATAAACATCATGAGCCACATAATAAGGAAATGCGGTATGTAAAAGCCAGTAACTACAATGTTAGAAACACAAATTATAACTTTAAAAACTCCTTTTACAATTTTGAGAACAACAAAAAATAACAAGGAAAACCCCAAACTATGTGGACTGTGTGTGAGGTAGAAAGGAGCCCCACGTCATGGGGTATGCTATGTTCCCAGTTGGGGTCCAAATCAAGCCCTGTTGCCAAAGGGGCAAGGAGGCCACATCTCCTAACCTCCTCTAACCCCACAAGAGGAAGACGGAATCACCGTCAATAAGCCCAAGGCCTATTCCTGGGAGGCCAGACATGCTGCCTCCCTCCAGCCCTTTCACCAACCCTGACACCAACCGTTCCTCCCGTAGCACTCACCACCTTTCTGCTGGGTTCAATAATTTGCTGCAGTGGCCACACAGAACTCACAGATTATGGGGTTCAATAGGGAAGCACCAGGGTACAATTCAATTTCAGGAACAATGCTCAGTCTCTCTTAGCCTGCCGTCTCTCAGCCAACAGTCTCTCACAGTCTCTTTCCCAGCAACGTGTGTCTCTCAGGAGCATGTTTCTCTCACCAGTAGATCCTTCTTGGCGAGCAGTCAGAGAGACTCCTTCTGCCTCTCAGAGGCCTCCTTTTGAGCCTGGCAGAGTAGTCAAACTAACCAATCATAACATCAGAATTCTAAGTACCTGAGAGAGAGAGCAAACTTCCTGGAGCTTGCTTTGTGCCACTGCGCAACAGAAATACCCCAGGTGGATAACTTTAGCAATCAGGAACTCCTCAGTTGTTCATGGCAAATTCCACCTCGGAGTTTACATAGACTTATGGGTAGAAAAGCCACACTAAGTAATTTACTACACCACATCTGTGCACATGTATGCATTAGATGTGGCCCCAGTCAAAGCAGTGGTAGGTGTTGTCTCTGTGTCGAGTGAAGAAAGGGGTGTTAGAGATAGAAATCTTTTTTTTTTTTTTAAAGTGTTGGCTATCTCTGAGAAGTCACTCCACTTGTTTTCTGTTGCTTCTGTAATGTGTATGGCTAATTTTGTAGCACAAGTGCATATGTAGGATTATCTTCAGCCAAATCAGTCCTTGGTCTAGGTTCCTGTTCGCCAACCCCCACCTGATCTTCTCACCCATCTATGCAGTTATCTGTAGCCTGGTGGTTGGTGTTAGTGGTCATGCAGTATTATGCATATACTAGTATTTGTCTCTGTTGTCTGTATCTTACATGCACTTTTAAGGGTCCTTCCTTTCCCCAATGTCATCATGGTCGCAGACTCTTTCCATACCATCCTTTCCCTCACCCAAATCAACATGTGACCCCCTACTAATTTGAAATTTTCCCTGCCCTTCCCTCCTGTCCCTGGTAACCAACAAAGTCAATTTGCTTCCCTGTATAAACCTTTCCTTGACCTTTTACAGTAGTGGGCTCATACAGTATTTCTCCTTCTGTGATTGACTTACTCCACTTAGCATAGTGTTGTTGTTATGCTGTGAGTTGTAGTGTCCCCTGAATCCATCCATGGTGTGAGATGATTCGTGGATTCCTCATTGTTCTCTAATGTTGCATAGCACTCCATTGTGTGAATGTACCATAGTTTGGTTGATGGGCACTTAGGCTGTTTCCATCTCTTTGTTATAGTGAATTGCGCTGCGATGAACATGGGTATGCATATGTCTGTTTCTGTCCTCTCTGTCACCTCTTTAGGATATATTCTTACTAATGGAATTGCTGGGTCAAATGGTATTTCTGTTTTCAGTTTTTTAAGGAAATGCCATACCATTTTCCATAATGGTTGTAACCATTTTGCAGTCCCACCAACAGTGTGTGAGAATTCCAATCTCTCCAAAACCTTGCCAACATTTGTTATTTTCTGTCTTGTTGAACTTTGCTGTTATTGCTGGGGTGAGATGATATCTCAGTGTTCTTTTGATTTACATCTCTCTAATGGCTAATGATCGTGAGCATTTCCTCATGTGTTTGTTGACCGCCAGTATATCTTCTTTAGTGAAGTGTTTGTTCATGTCCCTTGCCTATTTTTGAATTGGGTAGTTTGTCTTTTTGGTGTTGAGATGTTGAAGTTTTCTATAAATTTTGGAGATGAGTCCCTTGCCAGACATATCATAGCCAAATATTTTTCCCCAATCTGTAGGTTCGCTTTTTACACTTTTGGAGAGGTCTTTTGACATGCATAAACATTTAATTTTTAGAAGGTCCCCATCATCTAGCTTCTCTTCCACTGCCTATGCATTTTGCATTATGCTTGATGGTCTATTTATGCCATGGATTACAGTCCCTAGATTTGCCCCTATTTTATATTTGATGAGCTTTATGGTTTTAGGTTTTGCATTTAAGTCTTTGATCCAGCTTGACAGACTTGGAACTCTTAAGTTCATTTTAATACATGGAAGACAATTGAGAAACGTGATGAGGGAGCATCACGAGGGGTGTGGAGTGACAGGAACGAGCCTGAGCAAGCATGAGACTTCCAGAGCTGTAGAATTAAAGTCAGTGCAGTGCTGAGGGCAGGGCAAGTAGACAGCTAGTTACCTCTAGCACATTCAGTTTCTCACGCCTTGAGTGCCTGTACGCCTTGAAATAGGATGATGTCCAATGTTTAAAAGGGACAGTAAAGCCTGTGAAAGTGGAACCTGTGTAAGGCAGAGACCTGTCATATGGAACACACCAACGTTTTCCACTAAATAGAGAGACAGGAAAGTGGTCAGACTGCACCCTGTCAAAGGTAGAAAACTTATGTGACGTGGTAACCAAGACGGTCCCATCAACCTCTGGCTGTCACCCATTTTGCTGCATTTGGGACAGTTTCAGACTTAGAAAAACATCGTGAGGGTGGTGCAGAGGGTTGATAACACCCTATGTTAGTGTGGCATGAGTAGTCGAAAGATCCAATGTTGTTGAAATGATTTTCCTCAAACCGATCTATAGCTTCAACCCAACCCCAGTCAAAATCCCAGCAGGCTGTTGTTCTGTGGCAGCTGGGGAGCTGATTCTGAAATTCACGTGGAACCCCAGGGACTCTGGAATACCACTGCAACCTCGGAGAAGAGCAAGGGAGTAGGACCACACTGCTCAGTGTGCAGACCCAGGGAATGTGGGGTTCCCACTCTGCAGGGTCTGCTTCAGAGGGGACAGGGCTTCACAGAGGGGTGCCGAGTGTTTGCCTGGGACGGGGAGGCTTCACGCAGGATGCTGGGTGAGCTGACTCTGTAGGGACAGCAAGGTCGTCTGGGGTGGTGGAGGTGTGTTGGCAGCTGGCCACTGCGTCTCCTGCCCCCAGCCGGCCTGGAGGGTGGGCGAGGACTGAAGGGAAGCCCACAAGTGGGCATGTGGACAGAGATCTCCAGTGATGGCAGATGCCTTTAGTTTTCACAGTTCCCTCCACGCTGCTCTTTTCTCATGTCAAACAATGTTGAAGCCATTCAGAGGCACCTGTTCTTCCTCAGACAACCAAGAGATTGGAAATGCTTCATTTCCTGTTTGGAAATGGCATCCCTGGTCGTCCTCCACAGTCACCGCTGGCCACACGGGCATCCAGTGGAGGCAGGCGAAGGCTGCACGTGTCCCAGGAGGACCCTTTGCCCATGGACCAGGCGTGAGCCGAGCTCTGACTCCTCCTGGGACCTGGAGAAAGTGTCTCATCACTGTGATGGTCCTCCCCTTGGGCCACAGCTGGCTGTGCCTGGAGCCAGGATGAGACCCCACCCCCACCTGGCCTGCGATACCCAAGCTACTGCATCTGCAGAACAAAGTGCAAACTACAGGGTCAGAAGTGAGGCTGCTGTCAGCTTCCACACAACAAGTGCTTGTGCAGTGGTACAGCTGGGCCTCATCCGGAAAGCAGGCAGGTCGTGAGCCTCCCAGCCCTGCCTGGCCAGGCTGCCAGTCCTGATGTGCAGCCATGGCACGACCTTGCCACGTGCTGGCCCGGACATTCTTAAGGAGATGAAGCCAGCATGTTCCTTGGGCTCTGGCTTCTTTCACCCTCCAATTCAGGCAGTTCCTCCAGGCACTGAGGCAGCCCCTTGCCCTCTCTGCTGGGTAGTGTCTACACACTTGGCCCCCTCTGCTTCAAGTGCCTGCGCAGACATCCTGCTGGGCACAGGCTCTACCTAGACCGAGGCCGGAGTCCCCAAGGGTCAGCCAGCAATGGGCATCCTGGCAGCTGTCCTTATTACCACTTGGAGTCCTTGTCTGTTCCTGCCAGTCATCCGGATGGGTACAGGGGAATCACTGTACTTTAACTGCACACACCTGTGACTATTGCGCCTCGTGCACAAGACCACCTGGGGCTGTGCGCACCCCCAGCTGCTGCACTACATACTCTGTTTATTTGTCTGGTCCCAGAATCACCAGCACGTGAGGGACTTTCCCTACACTAGAGCCGAGGGTCCCAAGGCTCGGGCATGACTCAGGCTGCTTGCTTTGGGGCAGCAGGACCCCACATCCCCACACTGCCATCCTTGCCCTATGCAGAGGTGGTGTGGCAGGCCACCCTTCCCAGGCCAGGCAAGTGGGTCTGTGAGTATCTTGGATTTATGCGGGGGCTGCAGCTGCTGCTGGGAAGCTGGGCGAGCAGGTTCTCCCAGCCACACTGAAGGCTCCTGGTGGAGCCAAGCAGTGAGTCAGGGGCTTGGCACACATAGGACCTTTGGGTGCATGGCCTGGCCAGGAGGCCTTTTTCCTTCACGGCATTTGGCTGGTGAGGACAGGAATTGATGAGTCCCTAAAATCCAGAGGTGCAGTGAGCCGTTTTCGGGGCTTTCCTGCCTCTGACCCGCTGGAGCTCACAGGTTTCTCCTCTTTCCAGCACAGCATGCCCCCATCTAAGGCTGCAGGTACTCCGATGCACTGCTGAGGTCCATGTGTCCATCCAGCCACCTTACTTCTGAGGCAGCAGACTGCGATGTCCCAGACACAGGACTACGAATGCAGGAGCCATCATGCCGACACACAGGAGCCCAGAGTTTCTGGGCCGAGCACAAGGTAAGGCACAGCACCGCTTCCTCACAGAGGTGCTGCCACTCGGGCCTTGCGGAGGGCTTCTCCCGTCCAGGGGTCTTAGGTTCTCCTCTTCCTGTCCAGGGTCTCGAGGTAGACTTGGTCTTGAGTGGTGACTCCCATTTGGCAGGGGGTGGTCTTGGTGGACTCCCGTCTAGTTCTTGGGCAGTGACTCCCATCTGGCAGGGAGTAGTCTTGGGTGGACTCCTATCTGGAAGGGTGCTCCTGGAAAGGACTCCATCTAGGGCTCTTGGAGATGACTCTCGTCTCGGGTAGAGGGTCTCGGGTGCATCACCGCCCAGGGCTGCAGCACCCTTTCTCAGAGAGTGTTTCTGAAATTGGTGGTTCTGTACCCTGGTGCACACTGCTCCGGAGCCACCCACCTCTGTTGCCTTCCCCCTCCCCGCCTTAGCCATGGCAAAGCTGGCGGCAGTAACCCTTTTCTTGTGTCTAATTTTCAGCCTTTTATTGGGAAGTAATTCTACCTTGCAAAAAAGTTGCAAGAACAGGAGTGGCCCAGGGAATGTGCAAACTCCCACCCAGACCACCACTGAGACTTTAGTGACGGTTTGCTCCTGACCACTCAGACCTTCTCAGCAACACCCAACTCCACATTCTTTGGGGCAGCTCAACCCCATGTTCCTCGAGGCGAGTCTCCTTGCAGTGTTGTTGCACAGCTGAGTGACTGCTGTCACTTTCCATGAGCCCTGGGTCGGCCCACCCCTCGCCCCTCACCCGACATGCCGTCCCACAGATGCCACCTGGGTCAGTTCCTGTCTTTGCTGCTGCTACTCTAGCCTTTTGTAACCTGCAGGATTCCCAGTGCCTTCTTAGTCTTTTGTGATGTTGACGTGTTGCAATAATGGTAACATTTCTGAGCTGGTTCCTCTTGGAGGCCTTACCTTTAGTCTCCCAGCCTAGTGTTCAGCGATCCCTCTGCTGTAGCCTCACTGTGTGCCTCTCACCATCTGCCAGTCCTGTGTGGGTCCCGCACCTATTCTCATGGGTCCTTCACAGACGTCCGTGGGTTCCGCATGTGCCCGGGAGTCCTGCACCCATGCCCATGGATCTCATGCACATACCTGTGGGTCTCGCACCTGCTCCCACGGGTCCCACACCTGCTCCCGTAGGTCTTGCACATGCCATTGGGTCCTGCTTACACGACTGTGAATCCTGCACACACCATGGGTCCTGTGCACACACCTCTTGGTCCCGCTTACATGCTTGTGGTGTTGCACATGCTTGTGGGTCCCACACACACGCCTGTGGGTGTCACACATGCACCCGTGGGTCCCACACCTGCTCTCATGGGCCCCACATGCACGCCTGTGGGTCTTGCACATGCCTGTAGTTCCTACACACACACCTGTGGGTCTCACATACATCTTGCTCCTCATCAGACATGATGATCAGTGTTTCTCACACTGTCCGGTGTGTATTGGGATGGCCCTGCCCTCCCAACATCGTGTTACACGTATGTTACAACAACCCAGAGACGGGGAAGAGGAGAGCCCTGTGCTTGTCCCTCAGGCATCATTTGCTCTCAGTGTGGACACGTTCATGCCTTTTTGCTGTGAGTGGGCTGTCCTGGTGCTCAGACTGTTCCATCACATCGTCCCAGGTGGGGCCAGGGAGAGCCTGCAGCTGGTGCCAGGGGCTGTGTTGTGTCCCCGTCATCTTAGGACACGAGTTGCTGTGCCTCATCCTGTCCTGTCCCCGAACCTGCTTCCTTTTAGGGAGCGGATGCTAGAGAGCAAGGGCTGGGCTGATGTGCTCACCCACATGCCTCGCACACAGCTGGCCCTTTCAGCAGGTGGGAGGAGAACAGGTATGCCTGCATCTATATGCATGTGCACACACAGTCCATGTACAAGCCAACATACGTATGCACACCCACACCCTGACCCATGTCCTCTTGCCTTCTTGCCTTCCATGTGTTCATGTGCTTCTTCCTTGGGGTGAACCCAGGTTTGCTCACGTGTTCATCTGATGACATGTCAGATGGTTTCAGAACACTTTGCCCATCTCACTACAGGGGTCCTGCACACGGCATCCCTTCCCAAGCATTGCTCAGGGTCTGTCTGCGTTCCTCCAGCGGGGGGACCCAGGCTCTCAAGTCCTGTGTCCCTAAGTTATTTGGATTAGTTATTTTTCCCTTTTTGTGGTTATGATGTTCATTGAAATATAATTGGACAACAGTGGCAAAAAGAAATTATAAAAAAGAGCAGCTGCCAAGGCTGCGTGTGTACAGCCAAACACCTAATGGAGGTTGGTTGCTTGGTTTGGAGGTTTAGGGTCATCGTTGTTTCATGGGACATCCCAGTTAATTGGCCTAATAACAGTGTTTGTGTTTCTGGTCCCTCTCCTAGTTGGTTGCATGGTGACTGGGCTCGTCAAAGCTTGCAAGAAGCCACCCAAAGTACAATTAGTCTCTGCCTAGAGCAACAGGGGAAGGGGAGTCAGGAATCGGAGGAGAATATGGGCTGTGTGGCTAATGGTCCCCATGAACAACTGCCTCCTGCCTTGAGACCAGAACTGGATGATTCCTGATTACCATCACTGAACTTTTTGATCAGGGATTCCATGCGGGAATCTTGTTCAAAAGGGGGAAAGTGTAAACAATTTAAAATTCGCATGGACTCCAGACTTTCTGGACCCATGGGGGTTGGATGAAGCCCTGAAACTATTGCCCTGAGGTAATCTTTAAGCCTTCAACCAAAAATACCCCCTGGAGTCTTCTTCAAACCAAGCAGTAGTTTAGCTTAACTAGCAAAGAAAGTCTGCCTTGAGTACCGTGCTCTTACACGACTGTCTGTACAGGATCACAGTGACAACAGCAACTCCGAAGTTAGGTGGGAACCTGAGGGGTGTGAGTTTATGTTCATGGGGGAGGAGCAACTGAGAAGAGGAGGGGGAGCTGGTTGGCCAACTCAAAGACTGTCATCTGTGTTCCTGAATTGTATACGTGGAAACTGGCGAATTGGTGCATGTTGTACTAGGAATCGCCAGCCACGGCAAAGAAAAGAGAGAGAGAGGAGAGGAAGAGATGACTGCTGGGTTGAGTTTGGGTTGTTTCCCTCTCCCTTCATCTTCAGTGATTCAATTTTGGGTTTTTTAAAAATACGTAGTGCATTAGCTTCCAAAGATCAACCAAACCCAAACTAAACTCACTGCTGAGTCGATTCTAACTCATAGTGACCCCCATTGGGTTTCTGAGGCGCTAAATCTTTACGGAAGTAGATTGCCCGATCTTCCTTCCACAGAGCAGCTGGTGGGTTTGAACTGCCAGCCTTCTGGTTAGCAGTCAAATGCCTTAGGATGTACAAAATGGTTTATTCCAAGAAGGGTCCCTCTTTCCTGTGTGCATCCATCCTCCCCCTGCCCACCTCTTGCAGGTACCCAGTTCTCCTGTCCTCATGCTCCTCTCCTGTGTTTCTGTTTATTAAACAAACTGATGGGTAGACTTTTCTGGTGAAATGAGTTCCTTTCTATGGCCTTTTGCCTTGGTTCTGTGAAAAAGGGAGAAAAAGAAAACAGCTTGCAAGAGACTTCCCCTAGCCTCTGGGGAATGGTTACAGCTGCCCTGGTCCTTAGGAAAAGCTTGTCACTTTTGTTCAGGGAAGAAGCCAGTCCCTGCAGGCAGAAAATGTCCATTATCATGCAGATGAATGGAGCCACTTGTGAGAGAATTGGTCAGTTTAGTCTGGTGATGGGATTGGTCAGTCTGCTATGTAAATAGAGTGCATAAAGTCTCCAATAGAATTGAGCCATTTGCCTGTATCAGCAGCCATGCCCTAGAGAATGAGGGGTGACATCACTGACACCAAGAGCAGCCTGGAGTGCAGGGTGTCCTTTGGACCCTCGACCTCCTGCTGAGAATGTCCTAGACCCAGGAAACAGAGCTGTAACGCTGGCGACAGCACGAGGCACCATCTGAGCCACAGAGAAACGGGGGCAGCCAAACTCGGAGACTGGTGCTAGGCAGTGTGGTGAGCTTCTGGACCCACAGGGCAAGACGGCTGCAATGGGCTTGCCACCTCAACAAGAGAGAGCTGGGCACCTCCAGGCAGGAGCCTTGCTGGCAGAGTACGGTGTCTCCAGGGGCTAAAGGAGCTATAACACTTGTCCCAGCAGGGTGGGGGCCCGACAGGAGGCCTGTCTTGAGGGGCCGTGTGCTGCTGAGCGAGCGAGCTGCCCTGTACTACAGAGGGGCGATGTGTGCTTTCCACTTTGGGAAGGCCTTCCAGACTTGGCTCATGTGCCTCCTGACATTGACACCGTTACTTCCAGGTTAATCCTAATCCTAATCAACCCCGTAATCATAAATGTGATCTGTGATTTCTCTGTGGCCATTGCAACGGATTATTGAACTCAGCAGAGAAGTACAGTGCCATGGGAGGGGTGGCTAGCAACAGAACTGGTAAAAAGGCTGAAGAGTGGTGGTGTCAGACCTCCATCTCACAGGGCTCGGCCTTGGGCTGGTCCTGAGGCTGATTCTGATTCTCCTTGACGTTAGATGAGGCCTGACCCCACCACCACCACAGCGTTACAACTTTGACTCCCCATCCCCGCACCTGTCCTCTGGCATGCAGTTGCCCTTTCTGTTTAGTTGTGTCTCTGGGTGATTGTGGTCTGTGTGTGAGGGTCTGCTCATCCGTGTGTGTGCGGGGGGGTCTTCTCATCTGTGTCTAAGGTCTCCTCGGCCTTCCCTGAGGCTTCCTCACCCTTGGGTGTCCCTGCCAACCTGGGTTGGACCGTGGGGTCCTCTCCAGCATCTGCCGTTACAGCCAGGCTGCAGCAATAGCATCAAGTGCGTCTGTTTCTGTGGAGGTGCTTCTTCAGGGTGATGCTGAGGAGGGACCAAGAGAGGGTGGTCTGGTCTGGGCAGAAGCAAGCATTTGCCTCAGGTGGCAGGTGGAATGGGACATCTCTTCCTTAATTCGAGGGCTGTGTTCCTAGCTCATATTGTGAATGGTCTGTTTCTG